GGCAGGGGGTGCGGAGTTGCCCGGGTGACCCCGGGTCCAATAACAGAGGGTGCAATGGGGCACCGAGGGTTGGGATGTACTGGGGTTTTGTGTCCTCAACTTGAACTGCAAACCCATGGATTGTGGTGTGTGGGGGGGGGGTCTGTGCACGTACCTGTGTTTGGGTGTTTGTATTGCATGTGACAGAGAGGGCTGTGGGGGTGGGAGAGGGAGGGGTGTGTGTCTGTGTCTGTGTGTGTGTGTGCGTGCCGGTGTTTGGGTGAGTGTGTTGCATGTGACAGGGCTGTGGGGATGTGTATGGGAGAGGGAGGGGTGTGTGTGTGTGTGTGTGTGTGTGTGTGTGTGTGCACTCATGCCTGTGTTTGGGTGTTTGTATTGCATGTGACAGGGGGCTGTGGGTGGGAGAGGGAGGGAGGGGTGTGTGCCGGTGTTTGGGTGAGTGTGTTGCATGTGACAGGGGGCTGTGCGTGGGAGAGGGAGGGGTGTGTGTGTGTGTGTGTGTGTGTGTGTGTGCGTGTGCGTGCCGGTGTTTGGGTGAGTGTGTTGCATGTGACAGGGGGCTGTGGGTGGGAGAGGGAGCGGTGTGTGTGCGCGTGTGCGTGCCGGTGTTTGGGTGAGTGTGTTGCATGTGACAGGGGGCTGCGTGTGGAGGAGGGAGATGCGTGTGCACTGGCATGCGGAGCATGTTGCGTGTGACAGCCAGCACGGGGTGCAGGCCGGGGGCTGACCCATGCTCACACTCCCTCACCCAGCCAAGACTCTCTGAACTGTTCATGGGACAGACGACGCGCAACGCACAATTTCCACGCCAGCTTAGGCACGATGTGCTCCCGGAGAGACAATCCCGCTGCAGGGTTTGCATCTGCAAAGCTGGCTCCTCACACTGGCTGACGCCCCTTCCCCGCGGCAGGGCCAGGAGAACACCATGGGCTCCGCTTTCCAGGGGCGGACAGGAGATGGGTGCAGGGACTTGCTCAAGGCCCTGGAGCCGGTGTCTGAGCTGGGCCTGGAGCTGCCACAGCCTGGCCCAGACCCCACCTCCGCCACTCCGGGAGGGGTGGGAGCAGGTCACCGGAGCCAGCCGCCACCCGACGGGGAGCAGCGTGAGGGCTGGGGCTGCCCAGGCCCCGGGGAAGGGTCAGAGGGAGCTGAGGGGCTTCTCCATGGCTGACCTCTGTTTGTCCCATCCTCCCCTGAGCGCCTCTTTCAGGCCAGAGCCACAAGCACACCGAGTGCAGGACCTGGGCACTTTCTACAAGAATCTGGGTATAAACCCTGGTCAGAGCCTAACATGGGTCAGTCGATTCCCCACAACTCTCCCGTAGCCCTGCCCGGAGCTTCAGCTGGACAAGGAATTCTTCTTCACCTCCTGTCCTACTCTGTGGTGCAGCGTTGCTGTGCGCTGTTAAACAGCTGCTGTGCCCTGCCCCA